CTTAAAGTAGTGTAAGTATATTATCTAACAGCTCTATAGATCAGAAGTCTGACACAGATCTCACTAACATAAGGCCAATGTGTCAGCAGGGCTGTGTTTCTTTCTGGAGCATCTTGGGGACAATCCATTTTCTCGCTTTATTAAAGTTTCTAGTAGCGTAGTGCCTAAGGCACTTGATTGCTAACCAGAAGTTTGGCAGTTCAAACCTGCCAGCTACTCCCCAGAAGGAAGGTTGGACGATCTACTTCCCTAGTGATACCACCTCAGAAACCCAAGGAGGGGTCGCTATGAGTCAGGTCTGACTCTATGGCACATAACAACAGAACCTGTCCACTTCCCTTGGCTCCTGGTCCTATTACTCTATGTTCAAGGTCAGCAATGTCACGCTCAGTTCTTCTCATGCTGCCATCTCTCTGGTTTTCTGATTTTCCTGCTTCCTTCTTCCTTTTAAGAATCAGAAAGACACATGGAAACAATTAGTCCAAAGGAATAATGAACCATGGAAACTTCAGCCTCCAAGACCCTGAGACCAGAAGAACTAGATGATGGTGACCAGCTACCACTACTGACCATTTTGAAAGGGATCACAATAGGAAATCCTGGATAGAGTGGGAGAAAAATGTGAAACAAACTCAAAATCACAAAAAGACCAGGCTTACTAGTCTGATAGAGCCTGAAGGGACCTCCCTGCCCCCAAACTTTGTCTTTTAGTCACTCTTCCAGTCTGGAACTGAGCTCACTCCTATGGCTGAAGTTTCAGCCAAATAATATACAAGTCTATAAAGTGAATAATAACATCGTAGATGTATGCACTCCTTAGAATAATCAACCATATGAGATCAAGAGGGCTGCATTTGTCTAGAGATAAAGCTCAGAAGGCAGGAAAGAATAGGAAAGAAGAATGAAGGGAAATGGTCAATACAGAGAAGTGGAAAGAATGCTGTTATATTGTGGGCATTGCAATCAATGTCAGAAAACAAAAAGTATATGAATTGTTGAATGGAAAACCAATTTGCTTTGTAAACTCTCACCCAAGTCACAATAAAAAGTTTTTTTTTAAAAAAATGCTGCCTCTTAGAAATTCAGGAACTAATGGGAATTCAAAATAATCAAGATAATTGTGAGACTGCCTATAAAATCTAAATTGCCCTTGGCTTCTCTGTCAGCATAGTATGCTTTTGAAAATGCTTTCATTCCACTGTACCACTGAATATTGGCATTCTTGGCACTATAATTCATGAAAAGATGAAGTAAACAATTCAAACAAGGTTTAGCATAATGTATACGCCTCTGACAATGAACACAATCAATTTATCCCACCAACAAATATTTAAGGCTGCTGTTGAATGTGGGCACCCACAGAAATACACTGGATTTGGAGTTGAGGACCACGGCTGCCGTATAATTGTGTGACCCTGGACAAGTCACTGGAACTGTGAGCCTCAGAATTCCAAAGAGATATATGTAAAGGTTAATGTTCATAATTAAATGTATAGATTGTACAAAGCACTATGAATAAAATAAGATCTAGTTTCTGCCTTAGAGATGCTTTCAAACAGTTAAAAGATTATATAATATGCAATACAAAAGGGACCACAAAAGTGATATAGAAATTCTAAAACAGAATTTTAATATGGGAATTTGAACTTGCACATTCCAGGAAGAATTAGCTTGGAAAAACCACACTGATGAAAAAAAATGGATATTTGGTGGATGGCAAGCATTCCAGCTTGACTAGGGTGGGAAGTTCATGAAACAGTAATGACATCTAAAACTGGCAAAATACGTTAAGTCAGATCACTGGTTATAGAACAACCTTCAAATACAGGAGTTTGACATTCACTTTTAAGGAAGGACATGATTCAATAGAGCCATTGTGATAGTTGGAGCTGTGTGTCAACTTGGCTGGACCCCAGTTCTTTGTGGTTGTTCCCATGATGGGATCAGATGACTGTGTTCTGAGTGGCCAGTCGGTTCAGGGGGAGTTTCCCTAGGGGTGTGGCCTGCTTCCAGGATATCCAGGGACATCCTGGGAAGACAGACATTCTTCTGTGGATCAAGATTCTATTGTGCTTCCTATAACTGTCCATGAGTGAGCAGTCCACTGTTAGGCCTGGAGATCTTGGATTCATCATTCGTTGGAGTCAAAAGCTGGTGTACTGCCTGCCAGCCTTGAGCTTCTCGGCCCCTGCGGTTGCGGAAACTAAGAAAAGCCTACAGCCTGATGTTTGCTCCAGGGACTTTGAATTTGCCGGCTTCTATACGTTTGTGAGCCATTTTCCTAAGATAAATTTCTCTCTCTCTTTATATATATATATATATAAGCTTTGCTGGTTTTTGTTTCTCTAAAGAACCCAGTCTAACACAGCCATGTTACACAAATATTAAGAGCTCTGGTGGTGGAGTGCCTAAAGCATTTGACTGCTAACAGAAGGCTGGTGGTTCAAACCCACCAGCCACTCCTTGGAAGGAAAGTTGGGCAATCTACTTCTGTAGTGATACCACCTCAGAAACCCAAGGAGGGGTTGCTATGAGTTGGATCCGACTCGATGGGAGTGAGTTTGGTGACACAAATATTAATCTAGGTGTTATATAGACTAGAAGCAAAAAAGATAATTTAGGAAACCATTAAAGTAGCCCTGTTAAGAGGTAATAAGAGGCATACATGAGAGCAAGAATGGAAAGGAAAGTTCTAAGACAGTGAAGAATTGACCTGCTTCAATATTTGATTGAAAGCAAGTAGAACATGTGAGGAAATAAATAATTGAGACTCCAGACCTGGTGATTGGAAGAATCAAGATGCTAGTGATAGACATGCCCAGAGAAAATGCCATCCTCAGAAGAAGGTGTTAAGTTTGGTTTTAGACATGCTGATTTGGGGAAAGGAAGACATTTTTGATCTTTGAGAGAAAAATTTAACACTTTCAAGTAAAAAGGGGTGTAGATAAAAGACAGATTGCAGGGGTTAAAGGAGCAGGAGGTAATGAGGTATACACCTATGGTGGGAGCTAGTCTTCATAAATGACACTACAGTGATCCAAAGTCATTGGTAAAGATACACTTATGTAGACCCTGGTCCTGTGACTCACTTTTAAGTGAGAGAAATCATGCTGTATCACTTCACTACACTGTAAATTTAAGTCCCAAGAATCTTTGCAGCTTCTGCTTTTGTCTCTTGGAACAATTTCTTTGAGTGTACCGAATCATCATGTAAAAGGTCTAACTCCCATGTGGCTGCCATGTTGTGAGGATGTGAGGAAGCCCAAACTAGTCATGTGGTGAGGTCACTTGGAGAAAAAAATTTCCACCAGCTTATAGCTGTTCTAGCCAGCCCAGTCCAGCAATCAGACAGAGGAGTGAAGAAGCATTCAGATTACTTCAGCTTGAACCAACAATTGACTCCAACCACACCAGCTGAGCTTGTCAAGCCCTGAATCAAACGAACAATAACAAATTGTTTTAAGCTACAAAGTTTTGGGGTGATTTTTTATACAGCAACAGGTAAATGGAACACTACTCTTTGGTAAGAGAAATAGATATACAAGAAAAATATGGGACATGTTTTACTTTTCTCTCAAAATACCATCTCTAGTGTTCGCTATGAGTCGGGGCCGACTCGATGGCAAATAACAACAACAACAACAGTGTCTGAGGGAATGTCTTTTTGTTTCTTGTTTTGGTGGTTGTTTTGTAATAGGTGAATAATGGTTAGGCGGGAAGATATTTGGGAGGATAAGAAGGAAAGAAAAACATGAGAAAAAAATTAAGCAAAATGTAACATGAAGAGAGAACTTGTAACAAAAGGCTATTGAAAGGAAGGATTCAGAAAAACAGAGTTGGAATGGAAAGAATTTTGTAGAAAACAGAACAGGAAGTGAGTTAGAAAAATGAACAACTTCTGAGCAGCAGTGAACATCTGGAAGAAGTTCCAAAGTATGAAATTCACACCTAATTAATATGGATTTATGGTGAATCTATCAACAGTTTTATGATTTTATGAATTCCTATGAGAATGTACAGCAACAGAAGAGTCCCTGAAGGTGAATGAGAGGCACAGTAGAGAACGGAAAGAGTAAGCATTGCTAAGGCCTCATTTGATGGAAGGAGGATGCAGATGAAGCTCACAGGGCATGGGGTAAACGTTTTCAGGGTCCAGAGAAAGTCAGACTTCATATAAAATGTAGAATATAAAGGAATAAAGGAGAAAGAGAAGGCCTAAGCCCTCACTAGATTTCAAAAATAATTGGTGGTGTGGGTAGCAGGAATAAGGGAGAAAAAGAGAGAGAGGGAATTGTGATTGTGTTTCTTTCTATTGAATGTAATCTTAAAAGGGAATGAATGTTGAACAAATAGCTGAAGAACTTCTACATTTTTCTGGTCACAGTCCCCTGTGTCCAAACTTTATTGTTGGTTCCTCTTTCCAAGATGACATTACAAATTTTGCTCACAAAGACCTGAGGGTACAGCAACTAGCCATTCACTCTCATTAACCTAAAGCAAGCTTCTTCTCAACTATAGAAAGTGGCGTCACTGTTAGACATGATCTCAACTAACCATTTGATAATGAAGCTTGCTTGCAGTGTACAGATTAATGGGCTCAGGGAAGAAAGAAGATATGATGAACTTTCCTCTAGTGCTGGCTGGTTAAAGAGATGCCAGAAGACATAAGGGAGAAAAAGTTCCCTCTTCTCAGCAAAGCTGTTTGTGTTCACTATTTGTTCAGACAGGCTGTACTCACATAGACATTATGAAAAAGACCCATAGGAATATAGACCAGAATTCCAATAACACTCAAAGCCACCATTAGACCACATTTAGCTTATGACTGTGTGACCTTAACAATGACTGCTGATCTACTAACAATAATATAGTAAATCTGAAAAACTATCCTCTTCATTAGCAAATACCTTAAGTCACTCATGGTTTATTTTTGTTTTCCTTCTCCTCCTCTCCTTACTCGCATGTTAGGAAGCCCACTAGAGAGGCTTGAGAATGTCTGCCTTAGCTCTGGTCATCTGCTCAATAAGCTTCAGGAGGTCATCCACTTCTAGCTGCAAATCACTTTTGGCTTTTTTCCAGTTTCTTCTTGATCCACTATAGATTTTGTTTCTGGGCCTCAGGCTCAGGCAGGCTGTCTACATGTTTCTTCTTCAAAGAGGCAGAAGTTGCCTCAAAGTGCTGTGTGGCCTCTTCTATGGCTTGGTGAAGCTTCTGGAATTCTGTTTCTTATTTCTTATTTATGTCCAGATGAGACAAGCTGGGCCTTCCTGCCTCTTCAGCTTCTCATTCAAGTACTCTATATCTAGAGTGAGGTCAGCTCTCTCACTTTCCACCTTGGCTTGAGTGGTCCTTTCAGCTTCTAGTTCTTCTTTCAAATATTGTATCTGAGTCTGCAGCAATAAATCTTCCATTTACTATTCAAGAGCTTTATTCTTTTTTTAAAAATTTATTTCACAAAACTAAGAAACATAATACTTCTTTCTTTATTTCTTTTTTTAAATTTGTTTTACATTCAACATTACGTGTACATTTAGTTTCACTGCCCTAACCCAGTCTCCTCTCCTGCCTGCCCAGTAGCCCCTCCTCCCCTTGTGCCCCTCATAGTTATTATGCACTGTGTGTCCTGCATTTCCTCAGTTTGAATGTTGGTCCTCTGGTGTCCCATGGTCTATTGCTCCAATGGATGCATTTCCATAGAGTATGTGGGTGCGTCACCCTGGGTAGAGTGGTCTGCGTGTACATCTTGTTTACTATTGGGCTAAGAGCCAGCCCCTGGAAGTGAGTTTTATTCAGGCCCAGGATGTATCCCAGGCCCATAGTATTAGGATCTCACCAGACTCCATGCAACCAGTAATTCTGGTCATTATTGAGTTTTTGGATATTGTTCCACGTTTTTCCTTCCACTCTATCCAGGGTCTCCAGATTTGATCCTTTCCTGAGTGTTTGGCATTGGTAGCTGGGCACCATCTAGTTCTTCTGGTCTAGAGGGCCATTGTGTCCTAGGGCTGATTGCTTCCAAATGCCCTTGTTCTTTTTTGCACTATTCTTTGCTTCCAACGATAGGAGACCATTTGCTGCATCTTAGATGGCTGCTTGAAAGCTTTTAAGGCCCCAGTCACTACTCACCAATGTAGGATGTGGAACAAGGCTTTTATGTATTTTGTTGTGCCAGTTGAGTCTGGTGTCCCCCAGTACTATGCTCCTGAGTCGGTAGATTCATTGCATCTCTCTTCTACAGTGTCTGGCTGTCTGTGAGGGGTTCCTCTATGTCTATCTTCTATTGTTTCTGTAAAGATTGCAGTTATTTTGTATCACTGGTATCTGTGCAAGATTAGCCTCCGCTGAATCTATCCATAGTCTAGAGTATACTCCTGTTCACTGACCTCCATCTGATCTTCTCAGATGTTTATGTGTTTATCTGTAGCCTGGTTTTGGTGTTAATGGTAATGGAGTATTGTGGATATACTGGTTGGTATTAGCATCTGTCATTTATTTTCTATGTGCACAGTTCAGTGTCCTCCCTTTTCCTAATGTTATCATGGTGGTCATAGACTCTTTCTATACATCCCTCCCCTTACCCATGTTAGCATGTGGGCCTCAACTAGCCTGAAATAAATCCCTCCCATCCCTCCCTACCCTGGTAATCTACAAAGTGAGTTCTTTTTCTTAAGCAAACCGTTCTTTGTCTTTTCACAGTAATGGGCTCATACAGTATTTGTCTTTCTGCAATTGACTTATTTCACTCAGCATAATGTCCTCCAGGCTCATCATGAGATGATTCACGTATCCTTCAGTGTTCTTTAATGTAGCATAGTATTCCATTGTGTGAATGTCCCATAATTTGGTTATCCATTCATCTGTTGATAGGCATTCAGGTTGTTTCCATCTCTTTGCTATAGTGAATTGTGCTGCGATGAACATAGGTGTGCATATGTCTGTTCGTGCACTGGCTCTCCCCTCTTTAGAATATATTCCTAGTAATGGAATTGCTGGGTTAAATGGTATTTCTATTTTCAGTTTTTTGAGGAAACGCTATACCGTATGCCACAATGGTTGTACCATTTTACAATCCCACCAGCAGTGCACAAGAGTTCCAATCTCTCTGCAACCTTGCCAGCATTTGTTATTTTCTGTCCTGTTGAACTTTGCTATGATTGTTGCGGTGAGATGATATTTCATCATTGTTTTGATTTGCAACTCTAATGGCTAATGATTGTGAGCAATTCCTCATGTGTTTGTTGGCTGCCAGCATATTGTCTTTAGTAACGTGTCTGTTCAAGTCTTTTGCCCGTTTTTGGATTGGGTTGTTTGTCTTCTTGGTGTTGAGGTACTGAAGTTTTCTATAGATTTTAGAGATAAGTCTTTTGTTAGATGTGCCATAGGTAAATATTTTCTCCCAATCTGTAGGTTCTCTTTTTATCCTTTTGACGAAGTCTTTTGATGAGCATAAGAATTTAATTTTAAAAGGTCCCAGTCATCTAGCTTCTCTTCTACCTCCTGCACATTCTGGGTTATATTCGATAGTCTATTTATGCTGTAAATTAGGGCTCCTAGATTTGCCCCTATTTTATCTTTGATGAATTTTATAGTTTTGGGTTTTACATTTAAGTCTTTGATCCAACTTGAGGTTTTTTTTTTGTGTATGGGGTGAGGTATAGGTCTTGTTTCATTTTTCTGCAAGTGGATATCCAGTTTTGCCAGCACAATTTGTTAAAGAGGCTATCCTTCTCCATTTAATGGGTTTTGAACCTTTGTCAAAGATCAGCTGTCCATGGATGGATGGGTCTATTTCTGGACTTTCAATTCTGTTCCATTGGTCTGTCTATCATTGTACCAATACCATGCTGTTTTGACTACTGTGGCTGTATAGTAGTTTTTAAGACTCAACGCTGTGACATCACCCACTTTGTCCTTCTTCTTCAGAAGTGCTCTGCTTATCCAAAGTCTCTTTCCTTTCCATATGAAGTTAGTACTTGGTTTTTCCATGCCCTTTCTTGGTATCCGGATGGGGATTGCATTAAATGTGTAAATTGCTTTAGATAGCATTGACATTTTCACAATATTCAGTCTACCTATCCATGAATGAGGCAGGTTCTTCCATTTATGTAGTTCCTTTGTTGTCTCTTGTAATAGTGTTTTATAGTTTTCTTTGTATAGGTCTTTTTGTATCTCTCTGGTGAGGTTTATTCCTAGATATTTTATCTTTTTAGTAACTATTGTAAATGGTATTGCTTCCCTTATTTCTTTATCAGAGGACTCTTTGTTGGTATAGAGGAATACAACTGATTTTTGTATGTTGACCTTGCATTCTGCCACTTTGCTGAACCTCTCTAGTAGTTCCAGTAGTTTTTTGTTGAGTCTCTTGGGTTTTCTATGTACAAGATCATATTATCCACAAATAGAAATAGTTTAGTTCCTCATTGCCAATTTGCATGCCTTTTATTTCTCTTTCTTGCCTATTGCCCTGGCCAGGACTTCCAATACAATGTTTAAAAAAAGTGGTGATAGAGGGCATCCCTGTCTGGTTCATAATGACACTTTTGATTCCCATTTTATAGCTAAAGAAAATAGAATATGCAAATTTTAAGTGATTTTTCCTAATTTACTACAAAGGCCAGAATTTGAATTTTTAATTATTCTGGATACACCAGCATTTGCTGATAAGCAACTTCATTACATTTTGTACAGGGAGGGGAAACCTCAGTAAAGAACACTTTCCAAAAGAATAAGAAAACATCTTTCATATCAAGAAAACAATTCTAAAGATAATTTATAAAATAATAATAATAACTAATACCATGATGAGTTTCATAAATAAGACCTCACTCATCAGGAATTTGTTTACCTGACAACACAACTACCAGGAACTCAGAAAAAAATCTGATCAAGAGAATGAATATCTCAAAGTTCAAACATCCTACGCATAAGAAATGACATTAATTTAATTTGAAACACAGTTCTTATGCACTTGGTTTCCTAGTGTGCAGATTTTCAGTAGCAACAGATTACAAGTAACAAATTGGAATTGGCAGAGAAATGGGGACTTCTAAAGTGAAGATTAATCTGATATAATCAAAAGAAGAATTATTAGGGAAAAAAAGAGTAGTGATAAGAACCCGCAGAGCACAGAACTCTTAATGTAGGGACAGATAGCTCTATACATCCTGATAGTATCATTGTATTACAGTACATGAAGCCATTGATATTCATTAAATTCACCTTAAGTAATTAGGAATAGATTAGGGTGGGGAAAAGGGATAAAGATAGAATCATTTTAGAATGTGTTTTCCTTTCTATTAGTTAAGAGTGCTGTGATTTAGAGGAAGCTAAATTCTGGATCATACCAAATAAGTAAGCTATCACTTCTATATATAAAAAGTGGCCGAGAAGGTGCTAAAAAATTATGACTTCCACATCCAAGTAAATGTGATGCTCTTTCAACTAGATATCTTTAGATCTAATACATTTATCCCAAACAATACTGTCATTGAACTAAACACGTCTGAAAAATTTATTTGGAAATAATCTTTGGAGCTTCAGTTAAAGTCATCAAGGTAAGAAATTTGTCTTTTGAATAAATTGAAACTTGACTTTTTTATTTTGGATAAAGTCAAGTATCATTTGAAGCCAAGTCTGGTGAATATACCGGATAATCCTTTGGAAATTAATATTGTGTCTGAACATAAGGCATGTCCATAAAGCAGTGAGATTGGTTTTTTTATTTGGCTCAAAATGTTTGAGAAGATAATTATCAAAAAAGGAATTCAAAGACTATTTTGAGTAATGGTTATATTATTGAGATATATATTTCACATATATATTAGTAGATAAATATATCCATCTGGATGTGTGTGTGTATGTATATATACACACATACATATACATGCATACATATACATATGTATATATATGTTATTTCATAACATGGTCACAGAGTATAAAATAGTTACATGGTTTAAAACTTATAAATAGCTATCCTTTTAGCTACAGAACTCATTCATTTTTAGCATAACTGCTTTCTAATAATAATTGGAAGGCAGTTATGCTAAATAATAACTTTTTGATCATAAAATTTAAATTGCTAACATCAAATGATTACCATAAGTCAGGCACCATTTTTTTTTCCAATTCACAATAAATTTATTTTACATAAAAGAAAAAGCTTGTCATTAATAAAAAAAAAAAAATCAGTAGAAAACAGTTCTTCTGCTTTAAGTTGGGGTTCAAAAGTAGAAGCTGTTTTATAGTGAGATCTCAGTAGAAAGAGAATTTTGTAAGAAAACAGTCTTGTCATGAAGCTCTAACATAAGTTTCATAATGAAATATTTACCATGCAACTTTACTAGCAGAAAGGCTGGTTTCTGTGGCTGGTATTTTCTTTTCAGTCTCTTAAGACATTAACATTTGTTGTTGTTATGTATAGAAGATACTTAAATTTACTTTATTTAGAGTTAATTGTCTATATATATGGTATCATGATTGGTATTCTTTGTCCATGTGCACAGTATGAGCCCAAAGTTTCCTGGGAGAATTATGAGTGAAATAATACATGTGTGAGATTTTAGCATAATGCCTGACTTACAGCAAATATTCGACAAGTTAACAATTCATTTTTTTACTGTCCTCATGATAAGGAAATTTAAGCTTAAATTTTCATTTTTCCAAAGTCATACATGTAGTAAGGAGCTCTGGTTGTATAATGCCTAAGGCATTTGACTGCTAGCCAGAAGGTTCTGGTAGTCTAGTGCCTAAGGCACTTGACTGCTACTCAGAAGGCTGGCGGTTCAAACCCACCAGCCACTCCTCGGAAGGAAGATGGGGCAATCTACTTCCGTAGTGATACTGCAGAAACCCAAGGAGGGGTCGCTATAAGTCGGTCCGACTCCACGGCACATAACAACAACACCGCCTGGGAAATCCAAAGAGGGGTCGCTATGAGTCAGATCTGACTCTATGGCAGTGAGTTTTGAGTTTATACATCTAATAAGTGGAAGATAAGGTTTAGAACACCACAATTTGCTTTCTTAACCACTGTGCTTTTGTCTATAGCTGGATGAGCATTTCCCATTGAAGCTAATCATCACCCATTGAACTAAATCCGGGCACCTACACATATCCGATAAATGATTACCTTTAGCTCTATCTGTAGATGAGCCACTAGGTCTGCCTCATTTGCCATTTTGAACTCATCTGACTCGTTTCTAATTCTTTTCTGTTAGGAAAAGATAGCAAATAGAATTGTTCAGAATAATGTCTTGTTTAAATATTTTAATTATAGATCTTATTCTCATTTTTAAAACTTAAGTATTACAGTTACCATATTTTTACACAAATAATGCACGTGTTTTTGCCTACCACACAACCATCTGTGCATTATTTTCATATACATGTTATATGAATATATATATATGTATTTTACACATTAATGGCCTCCATTTCTTTTCTTTCTTTTTTTTTTTTTCATCCAATGGATTTGATGTTAAGTTTTTTTTTTTTTTTTTTTAGGGTTTTGGTGAAGATTTACAGAGTAAATTCACTTTTCATACAGCAGTTCACATATACTTTTTTTGGTGCCTATTGACACAGAGGTTTGGGTTTCAGTAGCAGACCCTAACTAGTCCACCCTTGAGTTTCTAAAGCAGCCCCTCTCCTGGCAGGATTCTATCCCTGCTCTGCCAACTGCTTTCTCCAATACAGGAAGAAATCATTTTTTCTGCCTTGGAAATAGCCCTTGCCAGCATGGCTAGTCCCAACTAGGAAGTGCATGGGTCTGTGCACCCCACTCAAGAGAGGTCACTCAGGCAGGCAAGGCCAGAGCACCATAGCTGCATAAGTTCTGCCCCGCTGTCCTTGGGCAATTTGAGTCTCCTGCCTGCATGTGGGATGGGGTTGAGAGTCATAGGCATTGAGGATATGCATGTATCTTCCTCAGACACAATGGGTCCAATGGCCAGCCAGTGGCCCTACAGAGCTGAGGCAGTGTATGCCCACACGTGCATCATCCTGCCACCTGGCTTCATATGTGGGTGGCACTGCAGGATCTGGGTACATGTGGGGAATGTCCCCACCCACTATGAGACTAGCCCATGGTTGGGCTGTGGCAGCCCCACACATAGTTCTCCACCTGAGCCTCTGCCCATCTCTAGCACAACATACCTGGGTGTAGATTGGCTACAAAGAACTCCACCATTCTCAGGCCTGGGTGTGAACTTCCCCAGAGCAAATGCACAGTTTCAGTTGTTTGCTTTCTCATTACTGAGGTACTAACAAACTCTACGCATGACATATTGACCATGGCTTATACTTTTTATTATACAAATATAATCAAAAGTAACATTTTCAGACTACTGAATGAGAATGAATGAAGTCAAAATTCACCTCTGGATATGTCACTTGTGTATGCATGAGTGTGCAATGCCAGAATGTTTTTACATAACTTTGTTATTTCTGCCCATATATGTGTGTGTGTGTTATTTATGTGGGTACACTTTTGCAAAAAATACAGTACATCTGAAGTCTTCTGGGTTACTACCCCTGATCTTTGTTCCTGCTCTAATGGTAACCACATTTATCAGTTTGATGTGTATCCTTCCAGATAATAATTTTTCTAAGTATTCACATTGGTTTGTGTCAATATATGATGTGTGTGTATGTGTGTAAAAATATTTTCATTTTCTTTACTGTAAAAGGAATAAAACCAAAATACCAAACCCATTGTCATCAAGTAAATTTTGACTCACAGGGATCCTATATGACAGAGTAGAACTGCTCCATAGGGTTTCAAAGCCTGTAAATCTTTATGAAAGCAGACTATCACATCTTTCTCCCACAGAGCTACTGGTGGGTTTGAACCTTTTGGTTAGCAGCCAAGTGCTTAGCCATTGTGCCACCAGGGCTCCTTATAAAAGGTACAATGTTGTATATGTTTTTATATAGTTCTGTAACTTATTTTTAACCCAATAACATACTGAGATTTTACATGTTCTTCATTTCAAAATTTATCTGTGACATGATTAACAAATTTCATAATTTGGACATAGTAATTTATCCATTTCCCTGTTAATAAGCACTTAGCTTTTCCTTTATATTTTGCTTTTCTAAATAACATTTTTCATATGCTTATCTCCTTAGGTACATGTTAGTGTTGCTCAGAGTGGATATTGAGTAGGTATTTCTGGGTCATAGCCTTGGAAACCCAAGGAGGGGTCACTATGAGTCAAATTGATTCAATGGCAGTGAGTTTGGTTTATGTAGGTATGTGTTTAAATATATGTAATAGCCTGCCCTTTGCCCTCCAGCAGCAATATGCTATTATTATTGTGCTATTGTTGTTGTTGTTATGTGCCATCGAGTCAGCCCCAACTTATAGCGACCCCTCCTTGGATTTCTGAGGCAGTATCACTACGGAAGTAGATTGCCCAACCTTCCTTCCGAGGAATGGCTGGTGGGTTTGAACCACCAGCCTTCTGGTTAGCAGTCAAGTGCCTTAGGCACTATGCTATCAGAGCTCCTATTGTTGTGCTATACTTAATATTCTATTTCTTGATTTTTCTTAGCTCAAGAGAATAGATTAGTATATCATTGTTTAATTTTGAACTTCCTTGTTTACTACTGATGGATGAAAACATCTTGTCAACTCTGAGGAATTAGCCACAGCCAAGAAACCAAATGATTTTCCTGCTTGTGTCCTTTGTCCATTTTTTCTATTGTTGTTGCTGTTGTTTGCCATCGAGTCGGCCCCCGACTCATAACGACCCCTCCTTGGGTTTCCAAGGCAGTATCACTATGGAAGTAGGAATGCCCAACCTTTCTATTAGATTGTTCATATTATTATGATTGAATTATAAATTATCTTTTAATGTCCTTTTTCTTTTTCTTTTTTTTTTTCCCCACTGCTGTCGAGTTGAACCTGACTCATAGTCACCCTTCCTTGGGTTTCCAAGGCTGTATCACTAAAGAAGTAGATTGCCCAACCTTCCTTCTGAGGAGTGGCTGGTGGGTTTGAACCAACAGCCCTCTGATTAGCAGTCACATGCCTTAAGTGCTACTCTACCAGAGCTCCCTTTAAATCCTACATACTAATTTTTTATATATGTTGCAATATCTTCTCCCTTCTCTTAATTTGTCTCAACTTTATATTGTTGGCTTTTGTCATATAAAAGTTTAAAAATTTGATGTACTCAAATTTATCAGTATTTTCTTTGCTTTTCTCTTTTTTTGTGTGACTGAAGATGACTTCACCTGCCAATTTCTTAAACTTTATCACCTATATTTTCTTTGAATAGTTTTATAACTTTGTTTTTACATTCAATTATTTAATGCAACTGGATTGTGTGTGTGTGTGTGAATAGTTTGGGGTAGGAATTTAACCTTTACCTCAGAAAATTAAATAGCTAATAATCCCCACTCTATTTATTAAGTATTCTATCCTCTCCTCACAAATTTGAAATCCGACCTTTATTATATACTAAATTTCCATATTCACATAGGTTCATTAGGCAAAAAGGTTTTACAAAAAGTTGCAACTCTCTGAAAACATGTATTTCTTAAGCGCCAGAATGCTTTAAACTGTAACCTACAAGGACTTAGAGTATCATATTCCCCCTGAGCTGAAACACAATCTTCAAAATTGAAGGCTAAGGAAACTCCATCATTTCACCTTGCACTATTTTATTATATTCATAAGAATACTTATTTTATCTTTTCCAAACATGTATCAAATTCAGTACCTTAACAGTAGAGTATTAGCCAAGCCTCACCAAAGAGATCACACATAATGGCAACATACATACACAAACAAGAAAACCAGAACCTCCTATCTGCTCACTTGATTATATTCTCACTTACTGTGTGTTCCCAACTCTAATCTAGCCTTATCTCACTCTTAGACCTCACTGTTTTCCCTTCTTGTTTGGTCTATTCCAAATAACTGGAAAACCCCTAATGGGAAGAAGGAAATAAAGCTAAAAAGAAAAAGACAAAAGGGATAGGTAAGAAAATCCACTTCACTGAGGGGTGAACTGAATGAGGAGACATTCTGCCTTGAGTTTCTTGATATAGAAGGAATCCATGTGAATTGAAAGATTCTTTAACTTCAATCATTGTCATATTTGCTTTCAACCATAGGTTTCAATATTTATGTAGCAAATTATTTGACCAAGAAAGCTATGTAAATGTTGATGAAATTATGTGAGTCAAACAAATATTTCTTAAGTGATCAGACTTAGCATCAAGGTCATTTTTTTCTTTTTTAACTTTTTATTCCATTGTTCTTATCAAGAGTAAAAGAAGTGAGCCATTTTCACTCTAATTCTCCATAATTCATGTATCATATGCCTTACACCTTTTCTTCACATCTGCTAGTCAGATGCTCTCTCAGTTATATTCGTCTAGATATACTTCCTTTTTTTACAAGTGTATAATAAAGTCGAGAAAAAAGAAATCACTTCCTTGCTATCCTGCTCTTCAGGTCTTGAGATATCTGCCCTTGGAGTCTTGAGGATAATTGAAATTAGAGAGCTGTTCTTTCCAGTATAAAGTTCCCCAGAATCTCATGTCAACAGAAAAGTGGCTTACCTCCTCAGCTTTTGAGCTAGTTGCAGCTGGCTGCTTGCCAAGTTCTCCATACTTTCCTGGTTCAGCTTCAAATCACCCTCCAGTTTGCACTTTTCCCTTTCACAGCTGTTCTCTCTTTTCTTTCCTGTTCAAGGAGACTCTCAAGCTGACAAAAGGAGACACTGTCTAGACAAGTACACAGGTGAAGTTTATACTTCATAGTGGTAGAGGTAGCATTAACCACTACCTCTGGGAAAAGAAAAAAAATACAAGCACAAATTTTGTAAATGATTCCTAGTTACATAGACATTTGAAAATATCACATGCATCAATAAGTTAACAAAAGCATCTACAATCACAGTGATAGAAGAAAACTTTAAAGATTATGGACTATGAGTCTTGTCTTAGGGAGGAACAAATAATAAATGGCCAATGAACTCTTCCAGTAATGGGAAACTCACTTCTTCACATGGCAGCTCATTTCACGGGTGGGTAAGTCCATTTATTCATCAATGCTTCTTCATATGAAGCCAAAACATCCTCTGTGAATTTTACCCACAAGTCCAAGGTCTGGTCTCTGAAGCAACACCAAGCAAATCTGTATCCATGTGACCATCATAAATATTTAGCAACTTCCCTGGGTTTCACCCAGGACAAACATGTCTGAAACACATCAAATCATTGTTCCTTTCAAACATGTCCCACATGGCATGATTTCCACACCACCTTCACCATCTTTGTAACCTCTTCCAGTCCCTAACACCAAGTCATAGTCTGAGCCCCACCAAAATGGTCTGAACATTATAGTTCTATTTAGAGTAGTAGTTTAGCAGAAGGCTAGATAACAGTTACAATATAGCTTTTGATCCATTACTTTCCAACAATGAAAGATATTTTCGGTAAGTAGCAAAAGACAAGAAACTCAAATGAAAAAATTTCTGGATGCTATACGTAAAAAGCTGAAAGTCAGTGAATTGCAGGAGAGAGTGAGTGTTCGTGTATATGTATGTGTGCAAATGGGTATAAACACCCATAAGTCCTCATACTAAGGCTTTGGGATGCACTATCAGTGGAAATAGGAAAGGAAGTTAGACAACTAACAGGTAATAGAGAAAACTGATAGAGAAGCAGTAAGAGAAAGCAAATAATAATAATAATAAAACCTAACCACCCCTTTCAGCAAGTTTATAGAGGCTAAGCTTTACGGAAAAATAGGAGAATGTATGCATACACCATGTCAGTTGTGAAGAGAAAAAAGAAGTACCAGTAAACTAACCCATTGAGAATTGTCTGAAACATCTATCTCACAGGATTTTTGAAGGCAGACCACAGGCACCATATTCAGCATCTTACAAGTATTTTCCAATAGTATGGGTAGGACACAACTTGCGACTTATATTCCTTCCATTATAAATAAATTTCAACACATCACTGGAGACAAAATAGGACCTGTAAACTAATCCTCAATACTATTGTCAAATAGAGTATCAACATATCTGTGGAACAAAATACCAGGTTATTTGGGAGCTATAGGATTCAGGAAGCATATACCTATCTTGTACCTCAGCGTCCTAAGAAAGTTAAAGAAGGGTTCTAGCTGATAGACTGTGCAATAATGCAAACTGCCTATACAGACCTCCTTGTACTTTTCAATAAAGGCAATCAGTGGCACAAGGGTCACTATTTAATCTTCTGCCAAAATTACGGTTTCATTTTGTAGCATGCTTGTTTATCAGAGATTTCATACTAACTCCTTAGCTATTTTCAATCCATATATAGACACATAAGTTAAAACCCTCACCTAGAAGAATCAAAAAACTAAAGTCATTAACTGGAATTAAACTAACACCATCAAGGTCAAATTCCAAATCAATGATAGAGCTGAGGATTCAGAAACATCCCAAATAACCTTTTAGTAAACAGTAGCACGCTTCTTCTCCTCCAAAAAAAGGAATGAGAGAGGAAAAAAAAAAAAAAAAGGATATTGAAAGCCGCAATGAAACCATTTCACCCTTTCTATTAGATTTCAGATGCAATATTGGAGGAAATGAAAACGTTTCATTTGGGAGATTAAGTGGTGTGCCATAACTTGGAACTTGCAATTTGAATTGGGATAACACAGTTCATCAGACCCTTTATTTTATGTTGGTCTGATTCCCCCACACTGTTGCAGGCCACAGAATTAATTAATTTAAAAAGTCTGGTACCAAAGGTTGATTTAAGAGTGGAATTCAGGCAACTAGGCCTTCCAAACATTATAGAAAAAGTACTCTGTAGCACGCTTCTCCTTCTCTCACTTCGCCAATATTGTTTCCAGGTCATTGATTTCTTTCTTCAAATCAGAGCATTCATCTTCCAGTTTCCACCCCCTGGCAGTCAGCTCAGAATTTATCTCCTCTTCTTCCTCCACCGGCTCAGACAGCTCCTTGCTCTGGCCTCCAGCTGGATCTTGGATTTAATCATCTATGTGCTTTGCTCTTCAGTATTTGCCAGGGTCTCTTGCTCCTGCCATGATGAGGAGAAAATTGTTGCCAACAGCTGGAAGTAATTTATCAGCTAGGCGAGAATGCTGCTTAACACATAGCAAAAAGATAATTGTCTGCCCTCTGCCCAGCACTTTCACCTACCTTTCCCAAGCAGCTGAAATAATATTCCCAGCTCTCTGATCCTATTGTTGAGAAGAGGAGGAGTTGCTTGTGTTTGGAAGTGCTTTTGATCTTTCAGGCCCATTCAGTAGATTAGATTACCTCTTCTAAAGCACTTAATAGAATCCTGGTGGCCTAAGGGGGCCAGTATGCCTCCAAATATCAGTGGTGTGCTGCTTAAATCACAGGTTCGGAAAGCATCCATAAGGGCACAGAGTATGAGGTTAATACCTGCTCAAAATATGATCTTTTGTGAAAACGGTGTTCCCTCAGACAATAGAATATTTATAACATTATTTAAGTGCCCTGAATACACTCATTTTATACACACACTCATTTTATACGCACGCACAGAGAGACCAATCCAAAACTCACTCATAGGAATCATGATTTCAATGCATAGACCCTTTAGAACAGAGTAGAACTGCCCCTGTAGGGTTTCCAAGGCTGTAAATCTTTACAGAAGCAGACTGCTTCATTGTCTCCTACAGAGCGGCTAATGGGTTCAAACCTCTGACTTTTAGTTTAGCAGCTGAATTCATTAACCACTGTACTACCAGAGCTCCTAAGAGAGGGAGAGAGAGAGAGAGAGAGAGTCCACTAAACTGTATGTATTGTTGTTGTTGTTGTTCATAGGCTGAATTTAGAATTCCTAAGGTTACTTGCAAGTCACTAACTAGATTTCACTATGATTTTTGACTAAAACTTTTCCTCAATGATTCTGCCAGCAGTAAACTCTGCAAGTTATACACACCGAGTATGAATACAATCTCCTTTTATCTAACTCAAATGTACTTCCTCCAGCTCTCGCCGAATGGCCATTGTTTTTGTGTTATATGTCAAGGTAAAAATGAAGAGGCTGATTACTTTTTGCTGTAAAAACCGATCATAACTTTGAACCCCACCAGTTTGGTTTCTGTTAGAAGGTAAAAAAAAAAAAAAGCCTCTTCTTTGTGAACAGTTCTTTATTGCTGCAGATCTGTTTGCACCAACCTTCACATACTTCTTCATTTCTCATCTCTACACCTCATGCACTCTCTACAATATGCCAGTTTAGATAATTTGTTAACGATCCACTTGCCTCACTTACATTGCCTCAGTTAATTAGATCAAAAGCAGAAAAAGGCAAAAATCAGGGCTCTTGGCCTCTGGCTAACTCCTGGCAGGAGAATGGCTGCCTGCCTGCCCAACAAATGAACCATGTTGGAGGAGGGCAGAGGGAATGGAACCATAAATGCCAAACTTCACTGAGGACTCCAAAGAAAGGCGCTAAATTTAAAAAAACAAAAACAACAACAAAAAAAAGTCAAGACAATGAGGAAGCAACTATGCAAATCAGAGGAGCTTTGAATGTATGGGGAATAATAGGAACACGTGATATCCAGGTTGACAAGCAGAACAATTATATCCCGCCTGCCATTCAGCATATTTATGAGACTTGTCACCATCACCACATGAAGAGAACCCTCCAAACAACCATCACTGATCCCTTCATTAAACATGACAGCAGGATTTGAGGGCCAACTGAGCAGTGGTATGGAACTTTAAGAGTGGGAAGATCCTTTCCACAATTGTACTTATGCTTTCACAAGTACAATGTTAATTTGAATAGATATTTTGAGTAAATAAATGATTTTAAGGAAATCCTTGTTTCTTTGATTCCTATTGGTTTTAGCTCTGTTCTTTAGAAATAAGTTATGATAAAATATCTCAGAGCTCTGTAACTATTTAATTTAACTATTTAATGGGCTTGTCCTAGAATTTGCTTTCTGGTGCATCCTGTGCTTCCCAAACTGGTCTTTTATCATGTATCCCAAGTTTTTACCTACCACTCCCTGCAGGAGTTGAACCCACTCAGTAGCACTGGCTACTCTCCAACAATAAATGCGAAGAATGAGGAGAAGGCCAGGTTTCATGCAAAGCTGCCTTTCCCCTAAACCAGATAAATACAATATTATAAACTATGGTTCTTATATTATCGAGCTTAAAGGTAGTTTCCAGTGGGGCCCAGGAATTGGTATTTTTAACAAGCTTCCAGGTGAGACTCCTAGGAAGGAGGGTTGGGCAATCCTACTTCTGTAGTGATACTGCCTCGGAAACCCAAGGAGGGGTCGCTATGAGTCGGGGCCGACTCGACGGCAAACAACAACAACAACAGGTGAGAATGATATACACTAAAGTTCTAGTGCTCTCACTGCTTTGTTAAATATGCATTAAAAATGTGGGTTTGGGGTAGATACAAGGGTAGACTGACTGAAAGATTAGGTATGTGTAGATAAAAGGGAATATACCCATGACCATATATAAATTTGGCAGATGATATTTCTACATTTTTTTATGTGCTGTGAGAATGTCCATATAAATAGAACTAACAGGGGCAAAGTTATGATAACTTCTTAATCATAAACAACCACCCTGAGGGAGCAAGTTGTTTGACCTGTGAGCTTGAGACCATGGTGGCAGGGGACATCAAGCTCAATTGCCATAGCATACTACACAGAAACATCATTCTACATCCTATTTTGGTGACTAGTGACTGGGATCTTAAAAGATTGCAAGTGGCCATCTAGATGCAATAATTTGTCACTCCTTGTCCAAAGCAAAGAAGAATGAAGAAAACCAAAGACACATAGAAACAATTAGTCCAAAGGCCTAATGGACCATGTGAACCTCAGCCTACATGACCCTGAAACCAGAAGAACTTCATGGTGCCTAGCTTCCACTGTCAACCACTCAGAAAGGTATCAGTTTAGGAAATCCTGGATAGAGTGGGAGAAAAATATAGAGCAAAACTCAAAATCATAAAGAAGACAGGCTCACTGGTCTCATATAGATCAGTGAAGCCCCAGAAACTATGTCCCTAGTCACCTTTTGGGGCTATAACTGAATTCCCATGCCTTCTGGCCAAACAATAGACAGGTGCATAAGTTGAAAATTTACACTAGGTACACTCCTTAGAACAATCAACCATGGGGGATCAGAAAGGCAGCATTTGCACAGGGAGATAGGTCAGAGGGAAGAAATGCATAGGAAAGAAGGATACAGGGAAAAGGTAACCACAGGGAGGAACTGGGAAGAGACCTATTATATAATGGGGACTGAAATCAATGTTGTGAAACAAAATGTGTATGAATTATTGTATGGAAAATGAATTTGCTCTGTAAACTTTCAACCAAATCACAATTTAAAAAAATTGTGGGTATGCGTGTAAATTCTTATATGGAATATGGCCTATAGGAATACTGGAAGAGAGCAAGACCCCAAAATAAAAGAATGATTTGAGTTGGTCTAAAATTACTATTTTTTTTCTGTTTTCAGTAAGCTTAAAAAGCAGGAAAAAATTGTCTTTAAATATGACTGATTGGAACAAAGCATTTTTCAACTCAGCATTGTGTAAAGTGGGGTGAAGATTATAATTAAGGTGAAGAAGATTTGATCCCTGCCATTTGCAATGTTTGGGGATAACAGTAGTCCAGGTGGAGAGGAGAAATATGAAAGGGAGTGATTAATGGCATGTTGTTATTATATTGAAAAGGCAGATTTAAACCACAGGAAAAAGGGTTATGATTTTATTTATTTATTTTTAGATATTACAGGGACTGAAGGTTGTTCATCAGGGAAGGAACATGAAATATTATTATTATTATTTCTAATAACTCCTCTCCATCTTCACCGGTTGAGTGGGTTTATTTTTCCCAGTTGTTTAACCTGCTCCCTTTCTCCACCTTCACTGGATCTAATATTTTATCTTCTCCTTAGTTGGTCATAACCCTGGTATTGTTATTTGCATCTGCTTTACCTAGTTACTAAGGCGCTCTGGTGGTGTGGTGCCTAAGGCGTTTGACTGCTAACCAGAAAGTTGCTAACCAGAAACCAGCTACTTCACAGAAGGAAAACTGGGCAAACTACTTCTGTAAAGATTTACCATTTTGGAAACCCAAAAGTTTCCAAAGGGTCACTATGAGTTTGTTTTTTTTCAGTTACCTAGTTACTCAGAATCTCAGTCGGTAGAAGAACTGAAAGTGCGGACTATCTGTATGACACCATCTTCCTTCACCAATTTTTTTTTTTAAAGACTGTCTGATAGAATTACCTATACAGATTCTTTGGCTTCATATATTGTGTGTCGGTAAGTCAGTTCTGACTCCTAAGGACCCCACATGACAGAGTAGAACTGCCTGATAAGGTTTCTTGACCTATAAATCCTCATAGGAGCAGATTTCCAAGTCTTTTCTTCTGCAGAGAAACTGGTTGGTTCACACCTTGACCTTTCAGTTAGTAGCCAACCATTTAACCATGTGCTACCAAGGCTCCTTTGGGCTTATACAAGGCCTGTTTAATTAAAATATATGAGAGCAGGTTTAGACATGTTTATTTTTATTTTTTTAATACTTTCCAAAGAGTCTCCTGCAGAGCCATGGTTGAGAGCCACTGTTTTAACCCTTTCGATATTGAACTATTTTATGCTTTGAATTTTTGTTGCAACTATGCGTTTTCGTTAATGGAAGGCATTTTGAACAGAAAAAAAAATGTTTTGAGGTAATACAGATTTTGATACAGTTAGTGTGATGCATACTTCCAAGGAGTGTCTTGTGCTGAGGTTGGTAGAATGAAACCTATTTCTTTGGACTGATGCAGTCATACTGGCTCCTACCAGATGCAAGCACTCACTAAAAGTGGGATAGGATTTTACCACTAGAACTCAGAGTCAGAAAATGTAGATGGGCACTGTATGTCCCACAGGTCACAAAGGGATTAAATAACTCAATCGTTGTTGTTGTTGTTGTTATGTGCCGTCGAGTCGGCCCCGACTCATAGCAACCCCTTCTTGGGTTTCCGAGGCAGTATCACTACGGAAGTAGGATTGCCCAACCTTCCTTCCGAGGAGTGGCTGGTGGATTTGAACCGCCAGCCGTTAGTAATGACAGTTTGGACTGGGGAAGGGGAAGTGGAGAGACCAAAATCAGAAAGGTCACCTAGAAGCAAACTGCAATAATCTTGAAGATGTCAGTAAAGCTTTCCTTGGAATCCAGTGAAATCCTGTCTAGCAACTGCCTAATGGCTCAGGGAAAACCTATAGACTTAATATTAGAAACTGAGAGTTTCCTTGCCCCATGACAGATGGTATGCTTTTATATTGTAAAATCCATCTAATAGTTTGTCCCTTTTTAAATGAGACCCTGCAAATGAAATCACTTGAATGTGAAGCAAGTTATCTCTCTAGGTGTTTACATTGTCTGTGATTGATGAAATTCTATGATATTTGAAAAACACATGCCTCTATTATTATTTTTTTTTTGAAATCAACACTGTCTGCAAAGCAAGAGAATTTAAATAAAAACTTGATTTAAAGAATAAATGGTGGGGCCACTCACAGCTTGTCACTGAAGAAGCAGAATATTCTTTTCCCAGATGAGGGACACTTGCTTTGCTTTCAGTCCTTCCTCTGAGATTCTGATTTCTCCAAAGCTTCCCACAGTTGCACACACTCTTCTTTCAGTCAGACTGTCTCCTTTCTCACTCTGGCAGACTTAACAAGAGGCTTGATCTTGAAGAAGAGCCTCATCCAGCCCAGTTCTTCACAGCTAAGAAAGCTCTTATGTTCTACTGGATCAAAAGAAGTGACTCTCTAAATCAAGAGAGAAAAAAGAAAACCAAGTTAACCCTAACTATAAGAGTTATTTCCAAATTGAGATCCTTAATAAGCATGTCTTTTTAGGAGTTATAATAAATCCTCATTAGTCTTCAAAGCACTTCTACATCTAGGCTCTCATTTGATTCTGGCAAAAACCCAGCGAAAGACTTCTGGGGCTAGTGATACTGTGGACTGGATATCCTGAAAATATGAGAGGTGAGTCTCAAAAAGAGTAAGATATTTAAAGGGAGACAAAAACCTGAGCAATAAGTAAATGTGTTTATACCTTGACCATCTTCATGGAAGGAGGGTGCAGTGAATTGCTTGATGTGGCCCTTCTAGCCATTGCCCTCCATTCTGTGGTGTTTTGTAAATCCCATTATCTATGCCTGTTTGGGCTGGTGTGATACTTAAGTTCAGGTATCAACTTAGCTGGGCAGCTGTAGTAGTCATTCCCTATAATGACTGGCAGTTGGGATTTAGACCTTGGCAGTTATAACTGATAGACTGGGCTGGATCACTGCTGGTGGAAGTCAAGTTCCTGAGGGACCCTATAATGACTGGCAGTTGAAATTCAGACCTTGGCGGTTATAACTGATAGATGGGGCTGGAGCATTGCTGGTGGATCTCCTGGGAAGATTCGCTCCTCCTCTTGCTCCGGTTTCTGCTTCTTGGATCATCCTCATCTCACCCCTAGATTTGGGACAATAGCTGCCGTCTGATCTACTGATTGGGGTTCATCAAACCCCAAGAGTTGGGAGGATTCTCCAGACCTACTCACAGACCCGGGACTCGCCAGCCTGCCAGCCTCCACCACTCCTACGTGAAACAAACCCTTGGGTGTTTGTGAGTCCTGTGAGGCGTTACAGTGAAATTCAGAACCTTAAGACTGGGGAAATTACTGGGAGGAGGAGGAGGAGGGATTAATGTCTGAAATGATGGAGTGGTATGGTAGTTGGGACATTTGGGACATTCTTGACCTCCGCCTCATGGGGACTAGCCTCGTGCTGATCTTTCTAAGAGAAATTGTTCAAGCAGAGGGAGTCAGTCTTGATATTGTAGGGAATATATATATATAAAATAAGGATCCCTGGTGGTACAGTAGCTAAAGAGCTTGGTTACTAACTGAAAGGTTGGCAGTTCAAGCCAACAAGCTACTCTGGGTGAAAAATATATAGCAATCTGCTTCTATAATAATTACAGCCTTAGATATCTATCAGTATGAATTGGAATTGACTCAATAGCAACAGTTTTGGTTTTGATGTTTTTTTTTTTTTTTTAATATATATTCACGTGGATAAAGAAACAAGGCTAAGTTTTTAAAAATGAAAAGGTGGATAAAAAAATTAATCTATTGGCACAGAGAGATGTCAAAAAGAAGTACATTTATTTTAGTCTTGGCTCAGTGTGATTAAAAAATTATCCTGTAGTAATATTTTGTATTATGAACAACACAGGTGAAATATTTGAGGTGTAAATTATGCTATCTGACTGGTGCAGAAAATAAATAAGGCAAAAATTAGCAGAATGTTTTTCCTACACGTTATCTTTGGGCCTTTTGGGGAAAGCAAATGCAGAATTGCACTGAAGAAAACAACCTAAAATAAAGCATTAGATTTTCTTTTAGATAAAGACCCACTGAAGATAAGTTTATAATCCAAAATTATAGAACATACATAGAAAAAAAAATCAGCTATCTGTGAGGGTGAGCACAAACAACAAAAAGCTTTGTTAAATCCCCAACAATTTCAGGTAATTGAACACTCTGATGGAGATGATAAAGTAAGTTTGTTAAAAATCAATAAAGGCATAAAAAAAGAAGAACTAGAAAAAGAAAAAGAAAGAAATGAGCCACTTCAAGCAAAGATAGATTGGAAAAGACACCAAATTAAAAGTCTAGAAATGAAAAATAGAGTCATTAAAACAAACACTCAGTGGAAGATTTAGGCAGTATTTAGATACACTGAAGGAAAGCTAGTGAAATGAAAAATGGAACTGTGGAAGTTATTCAGAACTAAGAAAAAAATAAACCCAAAGCAAGTGGGAGGAATGAATAAAAATAAGATCAGTAATTAATGAACCAGAAAAAAAAAAAAGAAATTTTAAAAACTAGTTTATTTTTTTTAGCTTTTTATTGTGATTTGAATGAAAGTTTACAGAGCAAATTAATTTTCCATTCAACTGTTCATACATGTTTTGTTTCATGACGTTGAATGCAGTCCCCACAATGTAATAGCACTCTTCTCATTTTATCCCTGTGGTTGACATTTCTATTTATCCTTCTTTCCTGTCCATTACTGCTTTCAGAGCTTTATTCCTGGACAAATGCTGCCCTTTTGATCTCATATGGTTGATTATTCTAAAGAGTATGTACCGCCCTGGTGTTATTGCTCACCTTATAAGTCTGTCTACTATTTGGCTGTAAGTTGAACCATGGGAGTTCAGTTCCAGGCTTGAAGAGTGGCTAAGGGCCACAGTCTCAAGGGTTCCACCAGTTTGTATCAGACCAGTAAGCCTTGTCTTTCTTATGATTTTGAGTTTTGTTTCATATTTTTCTCCCATTTCTTACAGGACCTTGTTCTGTGACCCCTTTTAGAGTGATCGGCAGTGGTAGTTGGGCACCATTAGTTCTTCTGGTCTTAGGATCATGGAGGCTGAGTTTCACATGGTCTACTAGTCCCTTAGGTACTCTGGTGGCATAGTGCCTAAGGGATTTGACTGCTAATCAGAAGGCTGGCAGTTCAAACCCACCAGTCACTCCTCAGAAGGAAGATTGGGCAATCTACTTCTGTAGTGAGACTGCCTCAGAAACCCAAGGAGGTGACACTATGAGTTGGATCCCACTAGGCAGCAGTGGGTTTGGTTAGGTTTGGTTTACTAGTCCCTTGGACTATTTCTGTGCATCTCTGATTTTCTTCACTCTTCTTTGCTCCAGACTGGGAGAGACAATTTGTTACACTTTAAATAACCACTTAAAAGCTTTTAAGACCCCAGTTGCTACTCATCAAAGTAATGTGTAGGACATTGTCTTTGTGGACTATGTTATGCCCCTGTGACTATGGTCCAGAGCTCCTGGCTCAGCAACTCATTCTCTCAAGGTGTTTGGTTACGCCTAATACATTTTCATAATTTTGCCCCCAAAAAATTGGTGTATTAAATGATCAAGAAAAAGGAAATAATGAACAAATAATCAATATTTGGAATGATTATATTATAGGAATGTAACTATATAACTATATGGTAGAGGTTTAAAAATCATAATCTAGTAAATTGGAAAATTTTAAAGAAATGTAAAATTTCTTTTTTAGGAAAAAAAAATTACCTAAACTAAGTCAAGAAGAAATTTAAAAACCTCAATATTACTATAACAATTATATAAATTGAATCAAATATTTAAAATTTACCATAAAACAGTCACTAGGCTCAGATGGTTTTATAGATAAATTCTACCAAATGATCAAGGAACAGATGTTGTTTTTGTTATGTGCCATAGAATCGTCTCCAACTCATAGCAACCCTTCCTTGGGTTTCCAAGGCAGTATCACTATGGAAGTAGATTGCCCAACCTTCCTTTTGAGAAGTGGCTGGTAGGTTTGAATCACCAACCTTCTGGTTAGCAGTCAAGTGTCTTAGGCACTATGCCACCAGAGCCCCTAAGGGACAGATAGTCTCAATAAATTATTTTGTATTTTAAAGAAGGGAAACATTCTCCAACTTTTTTACTAGGCTAGGGTAACGCTGATTCCAAATTAGATAACACAGTAGGAGAAAGAAAAATTACCAGCCAATCTTATTCATGAACATTAATTAAAAAGTTCTCATGATAATATTACAACCGAACTCATGAATGTATGAAAAAGATATTTCATGTTCACAGTGAATGCATCATTAAAAAAAAAATGTTAATTTAATTCAACAAAAAAAGCAAAACTCACTGCCATCAAGTTGATTCTGATTTATAGCAACCCCATCTGGTTTCCAAGGCTGGAAAGCTTTATGGAAGCAGACTGCCTCATCTGTCTTTTGCAGAGCAGCTGGTGGGTTCAAACCACCGGTCTTTTGGTTAGCAGCCAAACGCATTAACAACTACACCACAAGAGCTCCTTTGTATATATAGCCTATAACCTGCTAATTCATACCCTAGAGAAGTGACATTCAAAGTATGGACCTTGGACTAGACACTGTTCCACAAAGCAATATCAACGCATGGATTAGTAACACTGTATAGGGAGATATTCACAAAAATATTCACTGCAGAACTGTTTATTATAGCAAGGTATTGAAAATGACTTAAATTTACATGAGCTGGGGAATCAATAAATAAGTGTGGTATACTCTTACAATAGAAGCTCTGGTAGCATAGTGCCTAAGGCATTTGACTGCTAACAAGAAGACTAGCGGTTCAAACCCACCAGCCACTTCTCAGAAAGAAGATTGCACAATCTACTTCCATAGAGATATTGCCTCAGAAACCCAAGGAGGGGTCACCCTGAGTTGGCTCTGACCCCACGGCAGTGAGTTTGGTTTGGTTTTACAATAGACCACACAGCAGTTAAAATCGATTATCTAGCACAAGATTTACCAACATGATACATTTTATTAATATTTAGATAAATTTCAAGATAGTATATATAGAATATTCATGTGAAGATTAAAAACATTTAAAACCATTTTATTTATTTAAGGACATCTGCATATCTAGTAAAGATATGAAAACATACATAGGAATGATAATCCAAGTTCAGGACCAAGGGAGGGAAGGGTAGGACTTGGATCAAAGGAGAAATACACAAGGGGTTTACAGTATCTGTTAACTTATTTAGGCTTTTAAATAAAGTGTTGTGAACAATAGAAAAATGTTATTTATATATCTTCATGGTGACTCTATGAATGCTCATTATAATATTTTCTGTATGTTTGAAATATTTCATAATAAATGTTTTTCAATATCATTCTATGATTTAGAAAGGATGGATGGCAAAAGCCTCCTTT